TATATATATATATATATATATAAACTATCTGTATAAACATTACTTTTTCTCACATAAAATCTCTTTATCTTAAAAATTATCATTGAAGTATAAATGACATATAAGATGATACTAGTTTTAGGTAAATGATGTACTGATTCAACATGTGTATACATTATGAAATGGCTACCCCAATAGTTAACATCTATCAACAAACATTTTTTTCCCTTGTGATGGGAACTCTTAAGATTTCCTTTAATAGCACCTTTCAAATTTTTAATACAATATTACTGACTAAAGTCATCCTGCTGTATATTACATTTCCGTGACCTATTTATTTCATAATTGGAAGTTTGTACATCTTGATCCCCTTCACCCATTTTTTTCTACCACCCAAACCCCTCCCCTATAACAACTACCCATCCATTCTCTGTATCTCTGAAATTTGTTTTGTTTTATTTTGTTCTTTTTAGATTCTACATACAAGTGAAATCATACAGTATTTGTCTTTTTCTGTCAGAATTATTTCATTCAACAAAAGGCACTCAAGATCTATCCATGTTATTTCAAATGATACGATTTCCTTCTTTTTTATGGTTCAGTAATATTCCTCTGTGTGTTTGTATATACATATATATACATACCACATCTTTATCCATTCATCTATTGATGGACACTTAGGTTACCTGCATATCTTGGCTATTGTCAATAATGCCGCAATGAATACAGGGGCACGCAGAGCTTTTCAAATTGGTATTTTCATTTTCCTTAGATAAATACCCAGAAGTAGAATTGCTATATTCCATGACAGTTGTATTTTAAATTTTTTTAGGAAACTCCATACTGTTTTCCACAGTAGCTACACCAATTTACACTACAACAGTGCAGGCAGAGTCCTTGTTTTTCACATCCTCACCAACGCTTGTTTCTTGTCCTTTTGATCCTAGCCATTCTGACAGGCATGAAGTAAGATCTCACTGTGGCTTTAATTTGGAGTTCCCTTATGATTAGTGATGTTGATCATCTCTCATGTGCCTCTTGGCCATCTGCATGTCTTCTTTGGAAAAATGTCTATTCAAATCTTCTGCCCATTTGTAATTGGATTGTTTATGTATTTGTTGTTGTTTGAGTTCTTTACATAGGTTCGATATTAACCTCTTATTGGATTTATCATTTGCAAATATCTTCTCCCATTTAGTAAGTTGCCTTGTCCTTTCATTGATTGTTTCCCTCTCTGTGTAGAAGCTTTTTAGAATGATTCCATCCCATTTGTTTATTTTGCCTTTGTTGCCACTGCCTTTGGAGTCAGATCCAAAAAAATATCACCCACACTGATATCAAGCAGCTTACTGCCTATGTTTTCTTCTATGAGTTTTATGGTTTCTGGTCTTACATTCAGGTCCTTAACTTATTTTGAGTTAATTTTGGGGTATGGTGTAAGATACTATCCAGTTTCTTTTTCTTTTCTTT